CATGCAGAGACAGGAGTCCCCACTTGGGTGAGGGGTCTAGTGAACAGTAGACACATGGGACTGGACCCTAGGACATTAGTTATACCTAGTTTTTGCCCCTAGACAAGCATGGAGTCGGCCTTCTGGGTGTAGGGAAGGATTGTGGGTGGGGCTTGGCTTCCAGACCTCTCGGTGAGGGTGATGGAGGTACAGTAAAGCACCTCCTATAGGCCATGCTCTGAGAAACTAGGGGCAAGAGGCTCCTGGAGGTGAAAGTACACTTGTCTTCTGAAAGGAAGTACATCCACACACCAGGACTGAGTGCCCAGGCCAGAGCCAGAAAGTGTTTGCCATGTGGGCAGTACTAAGAGCTGAGTTCCTCCATAGCACAAACCCAAGATTCATGGCTAGCTGGGTACTGTTGATTTTACTGTGTGGATAGACACTCATTTGGGAAAGTGACCTGCACCACAGCACCTTCCATCTGGTGTATAATAAATCTAGGCTGGGTGGGTTGGCTCATACCTGAATCCCAGCACTCTGAGAGGCTCAGCAATCCCTTTAGCTCAGGAGTTCCAGACCAGCTGAGCAAAAGTAAGACCCTGTCTCTAACCAAAAAAAAAAAAAGGAAGCTGAGGCAGGTGGATTGCTTGAGCTCAGGAGTTAAGAGACCAGCCTGAGCGAGAGTGAGATCTTGTCTCTGCTAAATATAGAAAAATTAGCTGGGCATTGAGGCAGGTGCCTGTAGTCCCAGCTACCTGAGAGGCTGAAGGCAAGAGGATTGCTTGAGCACAGGAGTTTGAGGTAGAGGCCCATGGCACAGTAACCAGGTGAGATTCTGTCCAAATAAATATTAAAGAAAAATAAATCTCTAAGCAGGGTGCCAAGGAGCCACTTTCAGCCACAGGAGAAGCTAACTCTGGCCTCAACAATAGGCCAAGGTCAACAGTCTCTACCACTGCTGCCAGGGAGATGCCACCAGGAGAAGAAGCATCTATGGGACCTTCCAGATACCCCTGGCTCAGCATCCCTAGGGCATCTTGGACCCTCGTCACTGTCTGACACACATCCATGACTTTCCAGAAAATATGTACTCACGTGCTCTCTCTAGCAAAAGCCGCCACTCAGTCTATCCAGGTTCTGAACAAGAAGTGCAGAGGGTAGGTGTTGGCCAACCCAGTGTCCAGTCCAGAACAATAAATGCAAATGTAGCAGGTATCAACCCTGAGGTCAATGCTATTAAACATGATGTCATCTGCTGGGCACTGTGGGCAGCTTCTTAAAGCAGCTCCATACAAGAGGGAAGCAGGGAGATCAATCTCGGTCCCCTCTGCTCTGCCCAGGGAATCCCAGGGGACACCTGAGGTGCCTAGATCTCAGGTGATCCCAACCTTCCTGACCTGTGACAAACCAGGAGGAAGTGACAAACTAAGAGGAAGTGATTTGCAAGATGAACTAGGTAAGAAAAACTTTGAGCTTCAAAGTGTGAAAGCTGAAGCACCCGGTCAGAGCCATCGTGAACCTGGACACAACACCTGCTCAAAGGGCTGCCCAGGGAGTGGAGGAAAAGGGCACCCCTTTGAGACATAAATCCCAACATGACAACCAGGGGAAACACCCTCGTGCGCACACAAACCGCGGCTTCCCACTTGATTTCAGGGTCCACCGACCCCTCACGCTATCCGTGGACGCTGGCGCTCCTCGTTTCACTGTCAGAAAAACGTGCTTCCCTCATGGAGGCCCTCTACAGAAGGCCGGGCGCCCACCCTGGCCCCAACATCCCACTGCCCGGAGCACCCCGCCCACCGCCCGGTTGTCCCTAGCCTTCCACAGAGGTCCCGCCCACCCCTCTCTAGGGCCCAGCCTTCGCCTCCCCCGGAGCCCTGGGCCCCAGCCCTGCCCCGCAGCCCTTCTCCTCCTCCAAAGACAACCGCCTCTTACTCCAGGGAGACTCCAGCCCCACCTCGCTGCCTCTCCGCTTCCTCGGAGTCCCAGGCCTTAACCCCTACCCTGGAAACACGCCCTCCTACCCTGGAGGGACTCCAGGTCCGCCCCTTAGCCCTTGCCCTTCTCCGGGGACATCCCGCTCCTACCCTATAGAAACCCAGCCCCGCTCCGGACCCCGTCCTCCTCAGCTTCCGAACGTCTACCATGTCCATGGAGCAGGTCTGATTCGAAGCCTTAGATAAAACCGCGTCCCTCATTCCCATCCCTCCCCTCAGTCGGGAGGGTGCCAGGAACACTCGCGAGACCCTGTGGCTACGCTGAGTCCACCCTCCCGCTTCGCTGTTGGCTCTGCCCACTAAGTCCAGGTTTTCTACGGTTGCGGACGGCACTTGCACGATGGTGCTCCTGCAGGGTGGTGGGGCGGCCGCGTCACAATTTCCTAGGCCTCTTGGGCGCTCCTGGTCGCAAGAGCGCCGCTGGTGTAGTGGTATCATGCAAGATTCCCATTCTTGCGACCCGGGTTCGATTCCCGGGCGGCGCACTTACTTTTTAACCCATCTCAGGATAGAGAAAAAACCCGAAACAACGAGAAAATGCCCATTCTGGTGCAACGCGAACGAGATCAACATTTCAGATAGTGGAAAGTGCTAAGAAAACACTGGCACGGCCTTGGGCAACGGAGTGTTTGAGCTGAGAACCGTCTGAGCACCAGTAGCCCGAGCTCGCCACCCAGCACCCAGACCGGGGAGTACCAGCCGCTGTAGGTCCTTTAGCGGGTGGCGCGCGTCTTCCTGGGAGTTGTAGTCCCTCTGCCTGCGATTACCAACCAACAGCTCCCGATGTGCCCCGCGCCAGTTTGACGCCACAACTCCCAACGCGCCCCGCGCCGGGTCGGAGGTGAGGTGGATGGTGCGGCAGCGATGCTGGTAGCGGCGTCCGCTGAGCGAAACAAGGAGCCCATCCTAAGCGTGCTGCGGCAGTACGTGGACTCAGCCCAGCACGGCTTCCGTGTGCTCGAAGTGGCTTCGGGCTCCGGCCAGCACGCGGCCTACTTCGCGCAGGCCTTCCCTTATGCCGAGTGGCAGCCGTCCGACGTGGACCAGCGCTGCCTGGACAGGTGCGGCCGGGGCGAGGGTGTGCCCAGAGAGCTGCCATCCCGGCCCTGCTCTGCCTGCGGCCCTTCCCCTAACAGCCCTGGAAAGAGAGAGCCCCTGGGTATGCGTCCGGAATGGTGCGAGCCCAGAGCGCCATGGGACGCGTGGGCCTCCGTGCAGCCGGGCAGGCCACAGCCGCGCGGGACCCTGATGTGTGAAAGTGGGAGGTCTTGCGGGTCAGGCAGAACTGGGCGCCCAGCCGGCTGCTGCGGTGCAGCGCCAGAGCCCTGCTGAGAGAAGGACTGCGGGACATCAGAAAGACCGTACCTCAATGTGCGCTCCCTTCCTGCAGCATTTTGGCCACCGCTAAAGCCCAGGGGTTGTCCAACATGAAGGCCCCGCTGTACCTAGACGTGACCTGGCATTGGGAACAGTGGGGCGGGATCCTGCCGCAGTCGCTGGACCTGCTGCTCTGCATCAACATGATGCACATCAGTCCCCTAAAGTGCACGGAGGTTTGTTGGAGGAGTTGGGTGAGGCTGTCCTCTGGCCCACCGCACCCCTCACTCTGCACTAGCTGGGACTCTGGGTGCCACACTCACCTCAGGTACCAGTAGGGAATGGGGAAGGAGCCTCACTGCTGTCCTTCCTCCCCCTCTCCAGGGGCTCTTCAGAGCAGCAGGACACTTGCTCAAACCCAAGGCTCTGCTCATTACTTACGGGGTGAGTGGTTCTGCCAAAGACAGGACCTCACCTCAGAGGTCCCAGCTGCCTTCTGGCCCCCACCCTGTTCCCAATGGCCCTGCTCCTTTCTGGATTGCCTGGCTCCCAGCTGAGCTCTGGCCAGCCACTGGCACAACCTCCCTGCCCCTCCTCAGGGACCCTCTCATGGCTGCCTGTCACCAGCATTTAAACACACCCAGGCTCTCCTCTCTGAAACCTCCCCCTCCTTGTCACAGTCTTTCTGTACCCTCTTGGTTGTCCCCATGGGACAGGGAAGGGAGTATTGCTTTTTCATTCTCTGGGCCCCAGCATGCAAGTCTATCCTAGGACCACTGGGAAGTGGCTGACCCCCATCCAGTGGCTGTGTCCTCCATCCTCACAGCCCTATGCTGTCAACGGGAAGATCTCTCCACAGAGCAATGTGGACTTTGACCTGACCCTCAGATGCAGGTCAGAGTTGGGTGGGAGGGGGCCTGGCTGGGAGACCAGGTGGGCTGAACATCCCCCAAGCCATGACTCCATCTCTCTTCCCCCTGCAGGAATCCAGAGTGGGGGCTTCGGGACACAGCCCTCCTGGGTGACTTGGGCCAGGCCAGTGGCCTACTCCTGGAGAGGATGGTAGGTGGGGAGAGATGGGGGTACAGGTGGCCTCCCTGGGGTCCAAGGGCCACTCCTCCAACAAAGCATTTCTCTAGGTGGACATGCCTGCCAACAACAAGTGCTTGATTTTCCGGAAGAAGTAACCCCACTCCTTCATCCAGCTTACCTGCATCCCAGCTAAAGGCTCTTTTGGCCACAAACCAACACCACCAGCCCTTGTGCCAGGCCTTGGTGCCAGCCCCACCCAGTCTGGCCTCTTGGCTGGCAGCTGGTGGGCTGTCCAGAATAAAGTATTTTCTGCTGCCCTCTTGCTGGTGTCCACCATGTTGCCGCCTGGGAGCACCTTGTTGGGGGTAGTTGGCAGGAGGGATCAGGGGTTAGGGGCATCCTGGGCTTTGCTACTAGAGCTCAGATAGTAGAGGGAGAACCCAGAGACAGTTGCTGTCCTGGAGGGATTGTTTTGGTGATACAGGGAGTCCCCTGTAGTGAACTGTTGCTTCCTGGTGATCTTGCACCAGAGCCAAAGCCCTACTTAGTGATAAGTCCTCAGCTAGAAAACAGGCTGGGGTGTGGGGGCATCTACAAGGGTCAGGATCCTCAGACCAGTACCAGTATGCCAAGACACTGTGGCAGGAGGAAGGCTTTTATTATTAAGCAGGGCAGGAGAGTGGGAGTGGACATTCAGGGGTGGCTAGTCCTGGAAGCGGTTAAGCAGTGCACAGGCCTTCTTCTCAAGGAGCTCTGAGATCTTCTTAACACGCTTCTCACTGGCAGCACGGATATAACTGCCTGAGTCCAGCACAGCCACGCCGTCACGCACCTCACCCATGATGACCAGTGGCCCATCACCTACTGTCACATTGGGGCAGGGGCAGGCCCAGTCCATGCCTCTTAGTGTCACCTCCAGGTACTTGGTGCCCAAGAATTTGAGACCCATCTTGTCATCCTTGAGTACATCGTCCAAGGCCACACGGGCGATGCCACCACCAGCAGCTTCAGGCTCCTCCAGCACCTCGGTGAGCCGCCCCACTATGGCAAAGTCACTGCGGCACAGGCTGGAAGCCAGCTTGCTCCGGAAGCGGCAGGTGCGGCAGGGGGGTGTGCGGGGGACAGGGCAGGCATCTTCACAGCTCTCACGGCTCTCAAAGTTGTTGCTGTTGCCCTCACAGCCACTGTACACGAAAGGGTGGCACTGCTGCAGCAGCGGGCTATAGGCCCAACGCGGCTCCCAACCCTGGCAGGGGCCCTGCACGGCGGGCAGCACACAGGCATCTCCGGGGCCTTGGGTACAGGCCTGCTGGCATGCCTCATATGTTTCAAAGCCCCGGGCAGCCCCATCACAGCCAGGGACCGGGAAGGTCATGCAACCGCCCCGCTGAGGGTCAAAGTGCCAGAGGACATGGTGAATGTTGGTGGGGTTAGTGCAGGCCTGCGTGTCTGGCAGGCACTCAGCTGGGGCTGGGATGCTGGGGCCCCTGCTCCTGGCCGGCTCCCGCTGGACTACAGAGAGCGGGAAGTCAGCCCGCAGCAGGCCGGCCGCATTGCGCGCAGTGCAGGTGTACAGGCCAGCATCCTCAGGCCGGGCATTGTAGAGCACCAGCTGCCCAATGCTGGTGACTACTACGTTGCCATACATCTGGTCTGGGCGCATGATCAAGTTCTCCCGCTGGTGGCTCTGCTTCTCCCAAGTCACGGCAGGTGGTGGGCGACCGCTGACATCGCAGTGAAGGCTGGCAGTGCCCCCCACCTGCACTGCCTGTGGGGAGGGGCTACTGTACAGGGCAGGTGGGACAGGGGCAACACCAGGTGTTGGGCGGGCAGTGGTTTCAGGTGGCCCTGGGCTGCTGGGTGGCCAGCTGAGGACATGTTTGCAGGGTACAACGTGGAGATGAAGACCACGCAGGCAGGCCTCAGCATCCATGTAACAGCGATTGTAGTAGGTGAGGCCATCAGAGGCACAGGTGAAGCTGGGCTCCTTCTCACAGCGATCTCGGCAGCGGCACACAGGCTGCCCATCCCAGATGTCACAATTGGAACCCTGCTGTGGGCACACAAAGCCTTCGCAGGAGGCCGTGATGGCAGGTGCAGCTGGGCCCCCATCAGGGAAGCGAGCTGCTACACAGCTGTGCAGCCCGCACACGTTGGTGCAGCACTTCTCAGCAGCTGCACAGTCCTAGGGAGTGGGGGGCACTTCAGCAGGAGCCCTAGCACTTTCCCAGCCCTCCCCCAGGGGTATCCACCCCTGCATCAGGGCAGGGGTGAGCCCCCTGCTATGTGGTTGGAGCCAATGACTACCTCCCCTCGAGCCTTAGTTTCCTCTCTGAAAAGCTGAGGAAGTTCCCTCCATCTGGCATGACCAGCTACTGTGCCACAGGTCATCTCCTGTAACCTCACCAAGTCCTCAGACAGCCCCAGGTGGTTGCATTATGTTCATCACAGCAATAAGGACACTGAGGCCCAGCAAGGGTGTGCCATGTTTGCCTACCACTCAAATAGTGCAGCCTCACTGCTCTGGCCTCACAGACTGCTGGCCCTGCCTGCTCTTGGAGGTCAGCATCTGCTGGTTTAGGCCAGGGCAGTGCTGTGTGAGGGTAGGTCTGCCAGCCTGGTCAGAGGCCTGTGTCTATGCTGCTCTTCAAAGAACAAATGGTATCCAGAGTGGAAGGGGTGAGTGTGGTGAGCAAGAGATAGCTGAGGGAGCAAGTAATAGGCTCTTGGCTCTTCAGACAACTGAGGGCAAATGTCCCCTGGGATCCTCCTGCAAAAGGGGGTGGGGGAGAACAGCCCAACAGCCCAGCAGCCTAGCTAAAAAGTTTGGCAAGCCCAAGAATAAAGCAGACTTAGGGTTGGGGTCACCTCAGAGAAAAGGGCCAGGGGTCTGAACTTCCCGAGGCTGGCCATGTCCAAGCCCCAACACTCCCAGCCCCTACCACGCTCACCTGGTCCTGGCTGCATGCACGCTCGCAGGTGCTCTGGGCATCCACCCACAGATGGGGGCTGAGCTGGTTGGGGCACACACCTGGGTGGTTCCCAGGCTCTGGTAGCAGGCTGGCCCCTGAGGTCAGCCCCATGAGGAAGAGAGGCAGGAGCAGCCGTGGGGTGGGCATGGGGGCCGCTGGGCCAGGGGATTTGGGGGGCTGTGGCTATCAGCCACTGTGTGGGCCCCACGGAGTGCAGCCCCCGCAGGCATCCGCCCTCCGGCCACTCTCTGGGCACCCTTCTGGCCCCTGGGGCTGAAGCCCACACAGGTGCTTGTCCCAGTGCCCAGACAGGTGAGTTCCAGGGTCTCTCTGTGCTCAGAGTCAGTCCACGTGGCCTGGTCCTGCTGTTCTAACCAGTGTGTGGCGGCTTCTAGGCCCTGGTCAGGGCAGGACAGGGATGGGGAGGGGCAGAGGACTGGGGAGGGGCCAGAGGCCCAGGAGCACAGAGCCACTGGCCAAGAGGGTCACTGTGGGGCGGAGAGGGGTATGGAGGGGACGCTGTAACCTGAGCCCCTCCCTCTACACCAGGCTCTAGGAGGAAGGGCCAGCTGGGGTCAAAGTCTTCTTGAGGACCCTCCCCTACAGCTCAGGAGGGAGGGGGCAGGGCTGGCAGATCTCAGCTTTTATTCCTGACCTCTGAGGACCCCTTCAGGCTCCCATGCAGTGGGGGTGGACAAGCACAGGCTCCTCATCCCACCACCAGCTGAGGCAGGTCTAGGCTGGCAAGTGTCATCTATGAGAACAGGTGAGCCATGGGGAATCCACATAGCCCAGCAGATGGTGGCAGGGGGCTCTGTTCTCTTTCTGGGCAAGATTCTACAACCTTCTCCATGACCCTGACGGGTTACATGTAACACTGAGTCTTGGGGTTGAATTTCCTCTCCTGGGTTGATGCCTTTGCACATAGCCTGCTCCTCCTCTGCTGACTGTGGGGTGGCGGAGCTTGACAAAGAACACGGCTTTGCATTCCCAGAGATCCCCTCACCCTTCAAACTAGGGCTCTGGAAACTGAGGACTCTGTACCCTCTGGGCCCTCCCTCAATGGGCAAAGGCATGTACAGAAAAGTGAGGCCCTACAGCTGCCCACAGGGACAGTCCACATGTTCACTGACCACATGAATGGATCTATCACACAGGCTGCCTAGCCCTGGATACATGGCTCATGTGGAACTGCACCCTGAAAAGAGAGTGTCCTGAAAGTTGCTCCCAGAACACAGATGCCCTAGTGATCTCTCCCTGCCCCCAACTGGCTGCCAGCAAGAGCAAGCATCCCCCTCCAGCCCAGCTGCAGAGGCCCCTCCTAGTGTGGGGGGAGGGCAGGGGCTGGCTTAGCTCTGCTGAGATCACACAGAGGCAGCAGGACAAAGGGCCACCCAGAATCTACCCTTCCAAACCCTTCTAGGGGTGTGGGGCCCCAAGGAATGATGTTCTTGGAAGACAGGATGGAAAATGTCCCTATTACCCTGCATCTGACCTTCTGTTCCAACAGCCAGGATAATGAGCCTGGTCTAGTCAGAGGGCTACCAGGCGCCATGGTCCCTGTCCAACAAAGGAGCCAGGGCTGAGGAGGCCCCTGATAATGTGAAGATGAGAGCAGCTGGGCCAGACCTTGGCCATGGCTCCCTGCAGGTAGCAGGGCGGGTGCTCAGGATAGCCTGGCAGCCAGGGAGGGGCCATCGAAGCCAGAGGTTATAGCCCTAAGTGTGCTGGTCCACCTCGGCTCTGACAGCTGGCAGCCCCATCCCCTGCACATCCTGTCTGTACACAGCTTTTCCCACTGAGGGTGCCAACCCTGGGTCCTGGCTCTTGGGGGTTCTTGAAGCTGTGGCAAGTTGTGGGAGACAGTCCACACCCAGGCCATCTGCTGCTGGGGGCTTTGGGTTAGGGAGGACTTAGCACAGGGTGACTGGCCATTGCTGGCCCAGCTGGTCTCACTGTGAAACATGGTATGGACCGTAGCCAGGCCCGGACATCCTGCCCATCCACAGCCCTCATTGGGTCACTCTGGCAGGTGCAAGGCAGTGCTGGCCTGGCCTTACTCCACCTTTACCTGCCACTGGCCAGACAAAATGAGACTAATTTACACAAAACATGGCGATCACAGCTGAATTACATTTACTGTACAAAGAACTAAGAACAGTTCAGAAAGAACCCAGGAATGGTACAAGTGTCAAACAGCAGCAAGGTAGTGTTGATACCATGAATGCAAGACCACCCAGGCCCTCAAAGTCCCTGTGATTCTGTTCATAATTCCAAAAAAAGGGACCCTGTGGCAGCAAAACATAAATGGGGCCAGGAGAGGGTAAGATGATTGGGCCAAACTGTCTATGCCCAACCCTACTGGTGGTCAGGGCTAGGGTCCCTGGGAGCTGTTGCAGGGGCCACCTGGCCAGGCTCCCTTGTTCATCTGGTAGTTCATGGAGGCCATGGCCCTGTGTCTTCATGTCTGCCCTGGTGACACTCACTACAAGACTGTCTCTGAAACTGAAACATGCACTGTGGAGAACCCTGGTGAGAGGGGCCATGGCCCAGGAAGGGCTCCTTCTGCACATTGGCCCTGCCTGTGGCTAGGGAGCCCAAGGGCAGGAGGTAGAGCTGAGCACCAGTGCAACCCTCAGTGGGGTCACCAGGCCAGACTGGGCCGATGTAGTGGGGGAAGGGAAAGTAATCACAAGTGACCATACCCTTAGGCCACTAGGGCTGGAGCAGCTGTGAAGGAATGGTCAATGGCTTTCAGAGGAAAAGCCTCCTCCAGGCTGGGGGGTCCTTGCAGAGAACTGTAGCACCCAGCACTGCAGCACATGGCACGAACAAGGCCACTGTTCCAGGGGGTGTCATTAAGAAACAGATCAGAGTGGTTTCAGTGACATGTGACCTCATGGGCAGAAGGGCAGCGACAGGTAAGCAGCAGCTAGGGGAACATATCTGAGGTCAGTGAACAGAAGCTGCCAAGAACAGAAGGCTGAATGGAGATGCCCAGGGGTCCAGACACCACACCAGGCCCATAGGCCACAGCCCCATCAAGTATTTACAGGTCTACAGATAGGTCTGCATCTTCAAGTTAGAAAGAAAGATGCTGTTCTGGGTTTTATGTAGTAAATGTCACCAAAGGTGTCAAATGATAACAAAAAGTTTCTCAGCCCCTGTGTGAGGGTCCTGTGGAGTGACAAAGGTGGGGGCTCCTGAGTGTAACCTCTACCTCCCCTCTCCAGTGAGTTACCTAGGCTCCTATGCACAGGGATGACACCCAGAAAGCTGGTAAAGTCACCCCTACCCTGCCACCAGGGCTCCCAGAGCTGCACGTGCCCCATCTGTTTCCCACTGGTTTCTGAGCAGCCCCAGCCCCAAGAGTTCAGAGGAGGATTCTGGCTGTGATGGCTGACTCCCTTGTCACTGCCTCAAATCTCCTCTTGCCCAAGCCCAGTCAAACTCATCCCCTGGCTGACATAGCCACAAAGAGGCAAGCTTGCCATGTGGCTGCATAAGAATTCCCTCCCCTAAAAATGTACAAAACAGGTGAAATGTTCTCAGTATAAATAAAACAAAGGTGAGCCAGGTTCCATCCTGGCCTGGGCCCAGGCAGCCAAAGAGTCCTGGGTTTGTTTCGGACAGATCCTGTAGCACCAGCAGCCCCACTGCCCCACATGCCCACTGAGCATGCTCTCTCTCTGTGTACCCCGTCCCGCACCTAGCTCAGGTAGGGAGGAAAACCCAGGCTTCCTGGGCAAAGCTGTGTGGCTACGTCTTCCCTGCATGCAGCACTGGCCCAGTGTCCAGCCAGGAGCATCTGCCCGCAAGCCCTCCAAGTCTGTACAGGGCAGTAAGGCTGGCTCTGCTAGGAGATCTTGCAGTTGCTCCTGGAGCAGTTCTGGGGTGGGCTCTGTGGGGGGCGGATGGACTTGGACCTCTTGAGGCTGTTTCCCTTGCTGCTGCCACCCCCAGCCCCACTGGCCAGGGAGTAGGAGCGCCCATGCATCATGACAGCGTTCATGCCGTTGGCCATGGAGAAGGACTTGAGGTGACTCTTGATGGTGACTGGCAGTGGGAGCTTGTCGATGAGGTGCACAGGGGTGCAGGAGACGATGGCGCGGCAGCAGAGGTCCTGCAGGCTGAACACTGGGGGTGGGCAGAAGGGTCAGCCCATGGGAAGGGGCTGGGCAAGGCGGGGAAGCCCCAGGCAGGGAGATCAGGGTGAGTGGCCTTTTACCACCACACAAGCAGGGATGCCTAGCTGGGGAGGTCTCTAATGTCCTTGGAAGGGTCCCTGGACACTTTTCTTCTGCTTTTTTTTTTTGAGACAGAGTCTCCAACTGTCACCCTGGGTAGAGTGATCAACTCAACTCAACCTCCAACTCTTGGGCTTAAGTGATTCTCTTGCCTCAGCCTCCCAAGTAGCTAGGACTACAGGCGCCGACCACAACACCTGGCTTTTTTTTTTTGGTTGTAGTTGTCCTTGTTTGGCAGGCCCGGGCTGGACTTCAACCTGCCAGCTCTGGTGTATGTGGTGGCTGGCGCCCTAGCCACTGAGCTACAGGTACCCAGCAGCATTTTTTTTTTTGAAAGTGTCTCACTCTTGCCCTGGGTAGAATGCCACCATGTCATCAGAGCTCACAGCAACCTCAAACTCCTGGGCTCAAGCCATCCTCCTGCCTCAGCCTCCCATGTAGCTGATACTATAGGTACCCACCTCAATGCCTGGCTAGTTTTTCTACTTTTAGTATAAATGGGGTCTTGCTCTTGATCAGGGTGGTCTTGAACTCCTTGAGCTCAGGCAATCCACCCACCTCTGCTCCCCAGAGTGCTAGGCTACTTCTCCTGCCTTCTACCCTAAAGCTGTGCACACTGAGGAGTGCCTGGGGAAGGGACTCACTTCCAGAGGCCAGCTCTGCCCAGCCCCTCGCTCAGAACCTGAAGCTCCTGACAACCCTAGGAACTTCCTGGAGCAAGTAGATGTGTAGATAGCTTTTCAGGCTGAGCTGCTCTGGCAGCCACTACAGTTTTGGCTGGATTTTAACTCAAATCAAGCTAAAGTCTGCCAAGTGTGGAAGAGGTACTCCATAAGGGCTAGGGAGCCAGGTTCTGCCAGCCCAGGGCACAACCAGGCTCTATATGGTTCCCCTTAAGAAAGTAGGGAGGAG